GTGGGTCGGGGGCCGATAGTTGCGCGTCTCCCCCGCCTGCGTGGGGTGTAAATTATACAGGGCTTCATAGTAGGATCTAAACTCCTCAGCCATGTCACCGGAGGACGACACTGTACTGCCGGATCGTGTTTTAATCTGAGCAATGAAGGATTTAGCCCTATTACCTCTCAAAGCTCGTGCTAGGAGTTTCCCGGGCTTGTTTGAAAATTCATACATCGTTCTCCTGCCCCCCAACAGACGCCGTTTGACCTTTAGTGAACCTTTAGTGAACAGCAAATCATTAAGCTCTTCCCTAACAAGACGCAGCTCCACCTGGGTGTGGAGAGCCAATGTGCCAATTCTTATGTGCCAATTCTAATGTGTGTAAGCGTTCAAACAGGTGAGCCACTTGTTTAGCCCCCTCCCGTTTCCTGCGGGCTCCGTGTTTCAACAGGATGCCCCGAATGACACATTTATGAGCTTCCCAAGCGGTCAGGGGAGACGTAACGGAAGAGGCGTTTACTTCAAAAAAGGAGGGTATCGCGGATTCAACATCAGATTTATTCTGAGGGTCCTGCAAGAGCGATTCATTCAATCGCCACATGAAGCATGGGGAGGGGGACGCCGTTAGAGCTAAGGACATGTGTAACGGGGCATGATCTGAAAGCAGGATGTTGCCAATTGAGGCCGAACATACCCGTGAGAGCTCTTTGTGGGCTACAAAAAAATAGTCTAATCTGGAATAAGTGTGATGGACCTGTGAAAAAAAAGTGTAGTCCCTGTCTCGTGGGTGTAAAAACCGCCAAGTGTCCGTCAGGTGTAGAAGGTGGAGTTCTGCCTTTAATTGTTTCAGGTAGGAAAAGGCTAAGTGGGAAGTACCCCGGGAGACATCTAGTAAAGGATCCATAGCCACATTAAAATCGCCCCCTAGGACCAGAATGCCATCCGCAAATTCCAACAGGACCTGAACCAGAGTGCGAAGGAATCCCAGTTGATCTGAGTTTGGGGCATAGACATTGGCCAATGTCACTGTAACATCACCTATCTTCCCCTTCAGGAGAAGAAATCTACCATTAGTGTCTACATATTGGTCGGTGTAGAGCCATGGAACAGACTTGGCCAGAAGGACAGAGACTCCCTTAGATTTTGAGATTTGGGGGGGTCAGTGATATACCACTGGGAAATCCCGGTTGTGCAACCTGGGGACCTGGTCCTTCCTGAAATGGGTTTCCTGCAGGAACACTATCTGAGAACCAAATTTTTTCAGATCTGTCAGCAATCTAGATCGTTTTTCAGGAACGTTCAGCCCCCGCACGTTCAGTGAGGTGAACATCATCGCCGCCATCTTCCCTAGCTGGGAGCGGGAGACGGTTCAGTAGGGGAAAGTACAGGAAGTTGAAGAAAGAGGATAGATATAGCAGGGAGAAGCCAGAGGGTGAGTACTCTATAATAACTAGAGGTTGTGGGCCCCTACCCAGAGATTTGTTATCCGTAAGCTACCGAGTATACACCAATGGGTGTATGTATCCTGTCCAGACTACTGGTACAGGCAAGACAATTGTAGCAACCCGTTGCACAAAGCATGGGGTAACCCTATGTGGGGGTGGTAGATATAACCGTTGCAGTAACAATAATTATGGGAATAACTATATAGCATCAAAGGTGGAGATGCACTGCCCGCTCCCGGCGGCGGGACGGCACAGGACGCTGCCCCATGATCCGTTCCACTCGGTTCCACAGGCGGAGCTATCTGACTGTTGGACTGGGGTAGGACTTCCCGGGGGAGTCACTCCGTCCAAGGGTCACCGAGTGGTTTCAAAAGGGTCTCCGTCCCATGCCGGCCAAACCTCCGAATAACAGGCGTCTCTCCCTCATGTACAACAGCGTATAACATGGTACAAGAACAGGAGCACTATATTATGATGGGGGAGGACGGGGACCCCATCATACATAACTACCAATAAAACAAAACAAACAATCCAAAAATGGGGGGGGAGGGAGAAGGGAACTTTGCAAGCAACTACTATAACCTGCATCCTGTATACCGCCATCTCCACACGGACATCCTTGTCTGGCAGGCGGAGGTCGGTTGGATCCACTGTAGGGGCGATGTCAGGAACACAGAGCCCGGCCCCGGCCTAGCTCGGGACCACCGTCCACTGGGCTGTCGACCCCCAAACAACAAAGGGTGAGTTCCTGCGACAAAGAAATAACTGTGGATCGTCTATGGCTCCCGCCTTCACGACTTCATGGCTGATAGGTGCTGGCACCGAAGATGAACGAAGTGGGTAGCGGCGTCTTCCTCTGGGGGGGCGTGCTTGCCTTTGGGTTCTAGGCGCGGTATCTGCCGGGCCTGTAGGGAAATCCAGCCAGTTCGGAAGATCGATGGGCGCCTCATCTAGCCACTGGAACAGATCAGGCAGTTGACAAGGTGTGTGGAGGGCAAAAGAGTGATCCCGGTGGTGAACGATGAGGTGAAACGGATGGCCCCAACGGTAAGAAGCTCCTGCGGCCCGTATCACATCCAGCAGGGGTTTTAATGACCTGTGCATTCGCAGCGTGTGTCGCGACAAGTCAGGCATCACTTGTATCGAGGCACCATCAAAATCTAGCGGGCCGTTGTTCCAGGCCTTCCGCATGATCTCTTCCTTGACTGTGAAGAAGTGGACCCTGCACAGCACATCCCTGGGTGTGTTAGAGTCCGGTGAGCGAAACGATTGTACCCGATGCACGCGGTCAAGTTCGATGGGGTCACCAGGAGGCTTGTCTAGGTACATATTAAGTATAGCTGTAACTGTGGATCGCAGTTCAGGGCCTGATGTTGCCTCTGGAATGCCTTTCAACCTTATATTGTTACGGCGACTGCGATTCTCTCCGTCATCCTGATTCAGAAGTAAGGTGGTCAATTTTTGCTGCGTGGCCGCGTTTGCAGCTTCCATCGCTGACACCCTGGAGTGGAGATCATCAGTAACGGTTTCTACAGCAGTCACTTTGCTGTCTAATGCCTCCACTTGCTGTTTGATTTCATGGACTTCTGTCCTCAATGCCTGCACTATTTTGGCAGCCATATCGTCCAGGCCTGCCTTAGTGGAGAGTTTAGGGAGGAGGGATCGCCACGTGTAGTCACTGTCTGCCTCCTCATTATGACCTGTTGCAGTGCGACCCGGGCTCTGGGTAGCGTTATCGGGTGGCGGATCAGGTGTCAGGATCGGAGAGATCTCTCGATCCGACCGGGAGGATGCAGGGTTAGGGGCCGGCTTAGGCTGCTTCTTTGGGGGAGGCTGACTCACCACCGAGTAACGGCCGTTGGCTTCCAGCGCGGCCTGTGGCTGATTCGGCGGGTGCCCGAAGTAGTGGAGCAAATCCCGGGGAGGTAACGTTGGGGACGTGCTGCGGGAACGTTTGACATGGGTTCCTCAGAACACCAGTACCAACTTCACCAACACCAATTCACTTCATCAAGTCCAAGTCTCTTCCTGGTTCTTCCAAGATAACAAGCAGGTAGCGCATCGTTTATTAAAAACAAGTGGTGCCCTTCCCTTTCCTCTCCAACTCCAAGTCTCTTCCTGGTTCTGCCATGGTAACAAGCATACAGGTTATGGGGTGGGGCATCAATGATTTAACAAAACAGTGCCCTCCCTTTCTTTTCCTTTCGCATGGTCTCCTGTAAATATCTCCTGGGAGCTCAATCTCTTCCCATGGGTTCCTCAGAACTCCAATGCTAACTTCTCTTCTCCAAGTTCTGCCACAGTAACAACCACACAGATCATTAGGGGCGTCCACCCTTCTCTTTCTCATGGTCTCCTGTGACTTTTTTTTCTCCAGTTCCCTCTCTGGATTTCCTCCACCCATAGGCTACTCAGCATACCAATGCCAAAGTTTCTTTTCCTAGCTCTGCCACCGTAACATTCATAAAGGTTATGGGGGAGGGAGGCATCATGTAATAAAAAAAGCAGTGCCCACCCTTCTCTTTCCCATGGTTTCTCACGGGAGCCCAATCTCTTCCTATGGGTACCTCAGAACACCAGTCCTAACTTCTCTTCTCTAATAAAAAAGCAAGGCCCACCCTTCCCATAGTCTTCTGATTTTCTGTTGGGAGATCCATCTCATCCCATGGGTTCCTTAGAACACCAGTGCAAAATTCTCTTCTCCAGGTTCTGCCACAGTAACAAGTATACCATCAGGAGTGGGGTCTCATTGATCAAGGTGCACCCACTATTTTCTTTCTCATGTTCTCCTGCGACTTTTTCCCTCTAGCTCCTTCTCCATAGTTTCATCTCTGCCCATGAGTTCCTCGGCACACCAGTCCCAACTTTTCTTTGGGTGGTTCTATCACAGTAACAGACATACAGGTTATGGGGTGGGACATCATGTGAATGAAAACAGTGCCCACCATCCCCTTTCTCATGGTCTACTGTGGCTTCCTCCCAGGAGCTCCATCTCTTCCTGTGGGTTCCTCAGATCACCAGTCCTAACCTCTCTTCTCTAAGTTCTGCCACAGTAACAAGCATACAGGTTATGGGGTGGGGCATCATTTACTAAAAAAGCAAGGCCCACCCTTCCCATAGTCTTTTTACTTTCTGTTGGGGGATCCATGTCATCCCATGGGTTCCTTAGAACACCAGTGCCAACTTTTCTTTGGGTGGTTCTATCACAGTAACAGACATACAGGTTATGGGGTGGGACATCATGTGAATGAAAACAGTGCCCACCATCCCCTTTCTCATGGTCTACTGTAGCTTCCTCCCAGGAGCTCCATCTCTTCCCATGGGTTCTTTAGACCACCAATGCCAACTTTTCTCTTAATTCTACATAGATTAAAAGCACAGGGAATCATTTCTCCCAGGTGTGTCATCTCTTCCCATGGGTTCCTTAGACCACCAATGCCAACTTTTCTCTTAATTCTACGAAGATCACAAGCATACAAGGATAGGGAATCAATTCTCCCAGGAACTCCATCTCTTCGCATGGGTTCCTCAGATAGCTAGTGTTTCAAAGTTACCTCCTACTGCTGCCATGGTGAGGCATAACGCCTAAAGATTCTAAAAACCACCAAGTGGTGTCAACCCTTCCCATACCCTTGTAGAATCATGGCAGTGGAACAGAGTCCTCTTATAGCACAAGTCCAAGCCCGTGGTACCAGTATGGTCCAGCCACTGTCCTGCTCAGCTAGAAAAAGACTTCTCTGCACTGTGGACCCTCTGATGAATGACCAGACTGGACCGCAGCATGAAAAAGTCCCCGCAATCTGCGCACGTGTAGCGCCGCAAGCCTCTGTGAGTCTTCCTGTGGTTGACAAGATGCGACTGTCTTATAAAATTGGCACCGCATTCAGGACAAGAGAAGGGCTCGTTTTCGGCGTGGAACTTCTCATGCATCACCAGGCTCTGTTTCTGCGCATACTCTTTGCCGCACTCGGCGCATTTGTAAGGCTTCTCGCCTGTGTGGAGCCGCTGGTGTCGCAGATAGTTTGCCTTTTGGATAAACTGTTTGCCGCACTCGGAGCAGGAGTACGGCTTCTCCCCCGAGTGGATACGCCGGTGGAGAACAAGGCTGGACTTATGTTTGAAGAACCCGCCACACTCAGTGCATGAAAATGGCTTATCGCTCATCAGAGTCCGGTGGCTGATGGTCAGGATCTGTGTGCCTGGTTTGGTGTCCCACCTGGAGACATCATCTGTTTTCCACACAGACAGGAGGTCTTTGGACTCGGTATCATCTGCTGTCCCGTAGTGTTGAGAAGTCTTCTCCTGGAGGTTGGCTGGAATACAGAAGCTCAGATGAATTCATGGGCAATGCTTTAGAATTTTCAGAAGAGCCCACAAAGACCCAATGGAACCCACTTACCCAATTGTTTTACTAGTCAACTGAAAGTCATTTACTCTTATCTATTGGGTGAGGTTCCTCCTCTAAGCAGTAGAAGGCTAATTCATAAAGTCCACCTAAACCCTGCACTGGGGGTCTTCATGGGTGGTTCCTCACACAATTTGTATCCATCTGACCAATCAGAACATGACATTGTTTGGGCCCAGCTCTGCCCTCAGTTACCTGGGATGATATCTGTAGCTTCCTCCTCTTTTTTGATCGTCACCTCTACCTCCTCCTCGGTTTCTGATTTGACGATGACCTTCAGGACCCTGGGGGTGCCACCCTAAACAACAGGAAGTGATCAGTTCAAGTATGAAAGTAGGGGGTTTAAGTATTATGTAGGGGGCAGAAGTGGAATGAGAGAAAGTGGGTGGTGGAGGTGAAGGTCCACTTTTAAAGAGGACCTTTCATGATGTAAGTGAGCACAAGAGAATGAGCACAGGAAAAGACTGATAGAACTACAAATGTAATTCACCTCATCATCCTCCGTTTCTTCCTCGTCCTTCTTGAAGAGTCGAGGTCCGGGATGTTCCTGCAGAGCATTTCCAACAGGTTCTTCTGAAAATACATGGATAGTCAGAGACAAGAATGATGGATAGATGGGTGATGGACAGATGATAGATGGATGGATAGATAGATGGATGGATGGAGAGATAGATGGGTGATGGATGGAGAGATAGATGGGTGATGGATGGAGAGTGATGGAGAGATAGATAGATGGGTGATGGATGGATAGATGGGTGATGGAGAGAGAGATAGATGGGTGATGGAGAGAGAGATAGATGGGTGATGGATGGATAGATAGATGGGTGATGGATGGATAGATAGATGGGTGATGGATGGATAGATAGATGGGTGATGGATGGAAGAGTGATAGATGGATAGATATACAGAGGACAGCCAGTCCTGAGGATCTCTATACGCACCTTCCCCGGTATCTATAGGAACTTCCTCCTCTTCCTCCTTAAAGTGCGACTCCACCATCACTACATTAAAGTTCCTCTGCCAGACGACACAAAGTCCCCAGAAAG